CCTTCCTTCTGAGGAGTGGCTGGTGGGTTTGAACCACAAGCCTTCTGGTTAGCAGTCAAGTGCCTTAGGCACTATGCTACCAGAGCTCCTCATATAAGGGCTACTAGGAGTTTATTCTAAGGGTAATGGGCAGCAGTGGGTTTAGATGTAGGCCTCTGGCTTCAAGAAAGAATACAGTGGAGATTTGCAATAACTAGAAGCAAAGGTTGGACAACTGCTGCAGTAACCTAGATGAAAGATGTTGCCACTGCAGATTACAGGTGCATAAATACAGACAACAAAGAGTGTTCCAATTAAAGATATAATTTGCATTTCAAAGTCCAAGAGTGTTTTGAAATAAATTACATGGGTGATGCAAGAAGAAAGAGGAATCACAGATAATGTCTCCCCCCCCCCTTTAACCTACTTGCAATTTACTAACACCTGCAGTGTTTGTTTGGTAGGGGCCAAATTATATAGGGGAGGAATCAATTATTCTTGCTTTGGTATGTTATGTTTGAGATGCCTATTAGGCATTCATGACAAGAAGTTGAATAAGAAGTTGTTGCATATAAAGTATTGAGCATGAGAATTTTACATTTGGTCTCTGAAGTCATGGAATATTCAGGGAAAGTGAAGTTGTATTTAGAAAAGAAGTATTTCTTGTCCTTCTTCCACTAACAGGTCATTTGCACATTTTGGAAGTTTTTCTGGAACAGATCATGTATGTATACCTACTCCAAAGGTTTACTATGTATTCATGATAATTAGTAATGATTACTATTGAGCACATTAGGCACAGCTTTATATTTGTTATTCCCATCTACAATAAGCCTTATGTTTGTTGAACTCTCCTTTATTTAGGGCCCATTAAATCACTTCTATATTCTCATATCACACTGTGTTTTTCTTTGTAGCACTCATTACAGTGTTAGCAGTCAAACCCACTGCCATCAAGTTGATTCCAACTCATAGCGACCCTATAGGACAGAGAAGAGCTACCTCATAGGGTTCCCAAGGTTGTACATCTTTAAGGAAGCAGATTGCCCTATCTTTCTCCTATAGAGGGCCTGATGGGTGCCAACTACTGAACTTTTGGTTTTCTGCTGAATATTTTAACCACTGAGCCACCAGATTTCCTTTCTCAATAGTTAATGACAAAATTTTAAAAAGTTTTCTTCATTGATGTATATAGCTCACTCCTTCTTTCCTGCTTACTTTTGCTTTCTGTACAAGTATATCATTTGATAATTCTTTCAGCAAGAGTCATAGGTAATAAATTCTCCTAGTTTTTGTCTGAAAATATTTTGCCTCCATACAAGAATGATAGTTGAGCTGTCATTTCAAACTTTGCCTAGATATTTTAAGATATTTTCCCATTGTCCTCTAACACCTTTTGTTAATGAAAAGTCTGCTGTTGGGTTGTTTCCTATAGGTTCTGCGTGAGCCCTGGATTATGACAGTTTCCCAATGGTGCCATATTGGGGTTACGTTTGCTTGGGACTTCTGAGCTAACTGCTAAATGCTACTATTAAGGTTAATAAAAATTATACATACTATTCTATTATGTAGTTTTCAGAACCTTTTTATTTTTTCTTAGTCCTTTTAGACCAGCCTGTAGAAGATAATAATTTAGATGACAAGATAATAATAAATTATTGACAAATTTACCAAGCATTATGTCTTTATGGATCGAATCACCAACTTTGCATGAAATTTCCCACTAATAGTCTGTTTTTGGAAAAACTACCTGACTAAAGATTGTGAAATATAATTTGTAACTTAATTTTTAAAAGACATCTATATAATATCTTTGCTTAATGACATATTTAAAACAAAGTTATTGAGCCTAATTCTCTTATTGGTTTATAAGGATATTCAATACATATATTTTTAAATTGTTCTCTTTCCCAGTATTAATTCATATACAGAAATAATAATAAGAAATCTTCGATTCATTGAGTCTCAATTATACAGCAGGTGTTTTATAAATATCCCCATATTTCATTCTCACAAACATAATTATCTCCATTGTACAAATGAGGGAAATGAGGCTGAGAAAGATTTACCCAAGATCATACAGCTAGCAGATTCATATTCAGGGCTGTTTATCCCAGAGAGGTTTCTTTTTATTAGACCACAGTGCTGCTATCATACATTTGGCAGAAAAATTCCTCATGTTCAGAACATTATCGTTGCCTTCATTGTCTTCACTGTTCAGCCTAGTTTCTAAGTCAACAGGAACGATATTAGAAATGTCGTGCAATACTAAGTAGGGCTGAAGTTTTCCCATGGAGAATACCTGAAGAATGTTTCACCTGCTTTTTCCAAGTCTGCTGTCCGTTACTTACAGTCTCCAGGTCTGCTCAATGGACCACCATTTACAGATACCCTCTACTCTGCTGTCTGGCTAGGCCTTTTCACAGCTTTATTACTGCTATGTATAATTCTGGCATGGGTAAGCATTGATTTTATGCTGCTTACCCCAGTTCTGAGTCTTTGTAATTGAAATAAGTAAAATTAAGTTCACTCTTTAAACTCAACTCTCAATTCTTGAATATTTCAGAGTACTGCCCACAGTCTTGAATTGGTATTGTCAAGATATGATTAGAACAACTGTCAAAATAGGAGTCCAGATGAGATCTAGAATTTCTACCATGAGAGAATAGAGAAAGAAAGATCAGAGAAAGAGACAAAAGGGATGTGCAGAAGTGGGAGAGGGAGGTGAGGAATTTTGTAGCTATGACTACATGAGCAGCATCAGGACCATTATATGATTGTTTCAAATGTAACTTTTGGTTAATCTATTCACTTATGGCTATTTCATGTGACCATATTGTAGAATAGTCTGTCCTGATTAGTAGCCATGGTCAAGTCAGTTTTTAAAATATATTCATAATCAGTGGAGTATGACAATATATGCTGTATCTATCTCATTTGTCTATCATTTATCTATCATCATCATCCCATAGTTTTAATTAGAATCCACGGTCAAATATAATTATTATGTTAAATTGATTATTCTTTTCACATATTGCTATTGTTTCTATTATGTATAATCAAGGGTTAAAATAAAAATATCCCCCAGGGAATCTTCCCAATTCTGGATCTTTCAGATATAAAAATGAAGGCAAAATAATATATGAGGAAAACTATATCACTGCATTTTACTATTATTTATATTTTTAATTTTACAGTTGCTCACATATCCTTTATTTTTATCAATTACATTTATGGTCTATAAATACTTGTTGAGTGTGTATTATGCATGCATAAGGTCATAATGACATTTCAGTGAACAGTTTATGGAGATTTTTGATCCTGTGGCTATTTAACTGTAAGGAATCAATAACTTGCCTAGGACTTCAAAATGCTAATCCTGCATACAGGGCACATCAAGTTATGATAGGGGAGACAGGAATGGAGAAATGAGTTAGTAATCAGATAATTTAAAGCAAAGAAATTCTTCCTGAATGATCTTTTTAATTGAAGGAAAAAAAAATCACTTGAATTTTCTTTATGGTTGCCTGAAACTTTCACTTCATTTTTCATCTGGAGACACAGGCTTTCTGTTGGTGTAAGCTTGAAATGATTTATGATATATTATATTCATAATGTCTAATATGAAGGATAATAAGCTGAAATGTACAATCAGCTGGAATGGGACTTCAGATGTAAAATACTCTCAATATTTCTCATCATGCTTCTCCTAATTACTTGGAATATTCATCTGTTTTAAACTTCATGGATTTGGATTTTATACAACACAGTGCATTTGTGACATTTTTTTTTAAGTGGAAAAAGAAGTCACCCTCATATGCAGTATATTTTCTCTAGGCTAATAAGCACTAGTAAATAAATTTATGTATTTATAAAATGAAGTTGTATTAATTGATCTACATACATTTAAAAATATTCCTTATATTAAGTAGAATAGACAACATCACAGAAGAAATTCACAAGAAGTCTCACCGATGGGTTGATTCAAAAGGAATAGTCAATTTTTTAGGTAAGTTTGGTAGAATATCTATTGTTTTCATATGATTAAATATAATATAAATATAAAGTATTGTTTTTCAAGTTTCGATGTCTTGGTTTTGTTAGTAGTGTTTCTATCCATAATTGTAAAGTAGTGACTATTTCTCTTCACTTTATAATATCTCAAAATGCAAAAACTAAGTGTATCTGACACAAAATCCCTGTAGTTACACTTTTTAACAAAGAAACAACTAAGAATGCCAAATTTACAATTTGGATTGCCTTTTTAAAGATAGAATCACAAAACACCCATCCAGCTGTTTGAAAGAAAAACAGTTGTGCTTTTTCCTTTTTTTGCTTGTAACATATCAGTAAATGACCTTGATGGACATTGTTCAACCTGTTATCAATTATCAACCAGCTTAGTAGGAATCCAGTTCTTCTAATAAGCATTTCAACCCAGTAAGTAGTTAAGCCAGGTATGAGGACTAACGTAGTAGTATTCTTTAAGTCAAGAAAAGGCTTTATGCAAGTTAATATAAAAAGGAGTTTCACAAAGAATTTCTTATTTACCATGTATGCATTATGAAAGTAAAATTAGCATGGGATGATCTCAGGAAAGAAATACATAGTTTTGAATTAGACACTGAAATAATGTAAATGTATGAGAAGTTGACAGATTCATGTTGCCAATGTTATGAAAAAAATGATGTGGCAAAAAAAAATTAAGAGGTACTTTTTATTTTTTATAACAGGGCTGGTTCCTATTAGCTGTTAATTTATTATAGTTTTCATCTGCAAAGTTAAGAACTAGTGTTATGGAAATCCAAACTGAGGGATACTACTCACTTTTAGAATGGGCATTAGAAGTTTGCAATTGCACCCAGATTTGTTTCCTTTTTGTTAGTAGGCCTCTGTTAAGAGAGTGGTAGTTGCAAACACATACGTGGGTTTGCCAGTAACAACTCACAATTTGTGCAAAGTTGAGTCTTCGAAACTGAGCAAATTTGCTCTCAATTTCCCGCCAGCGCTTGCTGAGCTGGATCTGAGTTGGCTCCACTGCCATTGCGGCCCCATCCTCAGACAAGCCCTCAGCTTGCCTACGCACTGCATTCAGCTCCTCTTTCTTCTTCTGCAATTCACGATCAATTTCCTATTGAGCAAAACCAATACAGGGCCCAGGGCAGTTAGCTAACCACATTAACCAACCTGCAAGCAGCAAAAACTTCTCTCAGAAATTTTATAGGCTGTTGTCACTTTATTGTCATCCTTCAAAATATATAGGTGTTATTGTCATCCTCACTCAATAATCCAAATATCATCTCAGTTATCCTTTGAATGCTCAATTTTGGATATTCTAACTAAGAAAATATTTAAAGGTGTCTACTATTTTCTTTCTTCTGCATTTCACTTCTGTTTTAGGGGTTGACAATTGCAGTTATCACTCATTATTTACTAGTGGCTATTCATATAGCATATAATTTAGAGGGTAAGTAAATAAATTATTTCCTTTTAAAACTTTTAGGGGACTGAACAGAGAACAGAGCAAAATAAAAAGTGTAAAATAATAACAGAAAAAATAAAACATCTTCAGACAATATGCAAATAAATCGATTGAGATTTGACAGTGATGTATGAAGATGCACTGATGAAATGAATGTGCTAACATGAGAAAGAAGTCGTCCATATACCGATAAATCATTTGTTCATCTGGAACAAAGATACACAAAGTCAATTACAATTTTACCAGAAAACACATGACATTTCTTAATTCATTTTACATGTTTAAAAGAAAAACATTTTATTCATTCAACATTGTCACTTGGATAACACTTAATACAATACATTTATTAAAACAACACAGTACAAGGCAACGCATCAAATCAAACAGAATGCTAATAGAGGGAACAAGAACATCAACATTTAAAATATGATCCAAACAGGTTGTGTTCAAGTCATTAAGCAGTAGCAATAAAATCTAGTACTGGCATTCTAAAACAACATTACCTTTAGTTTCCTTTCATCTCTGGGTTCAGGTAGGCTGGCTAATTTTTTCTCAATGTCATCCAAGCATTTCAGGAGATCATCAGCCTGCCTCTTGTACTGATACCACTGATGAGAAATCTCTAGAGCCTTTTTTCTTCTTTGAGACCTCAAATCCTGTTCATGGTGTAGATATTATTAAAACATCAATATACAGGTATGGTGCAATTCTGTTAGTAGTTATTTAAACATAATTGGAGTCACTCATCTTGTATAGCTTACGTTAAATTCACATGTAAACTGCTAGACAGTCAAATGCATGATTAAATTATCTATTATGTAGAAGGACTCAAGTACATGAACAATCAACTTAAAGTATTTTCGTTTAGCATGTTCACATGTGTTTTAAAATCTTCTCATAGTTAATTGCCTTGTAACGAGTTAAGTAAATTTTATGTAGTACATGTGAAACACTTTAATATATAAAAACATTTGAATTAACTAGATACTTGCACAAGTTTAGACAGCTTGTGTTTGACTTTTAAAATAGATAAAAAATTAAAAAAAATATATATTTAGCCCTGAGTCCATCAACAAAACAGTTTCAATAGCCAACTAATAGATACATTTGTGGTTTTACAATCCCATGTAAGGACGTTTCATAGGCCATTAATATTTTGTGATGAGAAAGGTAAAGCCAGTCAATCATTTCATAAATTGTTTCAAGTTATATATGTAAGAGTGTGAACAGTGTTTATACATCTCTGAAGATACATGAAGATGACAAATTAAATGGCAGAAAAACACTCTTTTCTTTCAAAGGCTTGTATGGCCAACTTTTTCCATGACATCAAATCATGTTCTAAATGTAAAACAATGAATGATTTTTAAAAGCAAACAAAGTATTTGGCTTCCAACCATCCTCATGAGAAAAATAAGGATGACAGGCTTGAGAAACCATTGAAGGGTCAGAAGATCAATCACCTAGGTCCTTACAAGCACATGCAATGTCTTCCCTAGTCAAGAGGATTCCTTGAAATGCCATTTCATAACTCAAGAAAATATAAAGCCTCTGCATACAGCTTTTATGCAGAACAGTAGCAATTAGGGTTTCATACCCAGGTTTAACTTTAGCAAAAGAGAATAATGACTATCAAAGAACTTCTGAAATATTCATTGCCTGTGAAACTTTTGACCTTTAAAATAGTTCATAAGGACAAAACTTGGAACCACTTGTCATGTTCACATAGTTACTGAATTGATGGGTGATCTAGACTGGCTTGGCAAGTGGAGTCCACTAAGTGTTTTTATCATATATATCAAGAATGATCTAGATTTTATTAATCCAGTGTTTGAAATTAGGAATACAAAATGTACTGCAGTTTACACTTTAAGCTGAATTTCGGAACCTCTTGTGGAGGTAATATGTGGCTCTGATGAGCCAGAAGGGATGCTGCTTTTTTCAAAGGTACTTCGATCCAGCCATGTGAATGAGAGTTGGGCCATGCCTTATTCATGACACTACTCACATCTTCTCAAAGAGAAAATACTTGGTAGCCATAACATCAGAAATTCCTTTCATTGCCTGAGCTCAAAGTAATGTGTACTATTTAAAATTCTTTGGGGACATTATATAGATTTATTTACAGATATGGCATATGACATTTAAATGCCACTGTTTCGTATGACACGCGTCATCACATGACCAATGTAGATGCTTCTAAAAGCTTGGTCACAGTCAGAAGTATGTGAATTATACAGCTTTCTGATTTTCTGAGCACATTCAAATTTGCTCTTACATTCCCTTGAGGCTTTTTCTGTTTACTATATTTATCAGCAGTTACCTTCAGAACACCTGCTGGCCAATTAGATTTTCCTTGTGGATTCCTTGCAGGCACAATATTGTGTAATTACATTCTCAGCAGTGTTTATTAGGTTGTCTGACTACGTGGGAAAAGGTTTTATCCTCTGATTTGCATATAGAAAGTAGATTCCATCCAACTACTAGGTGGATCCACCTATGTGGCTACAGAGCTCTAAAAGAGTGATTTACAATGAAAAGCTTCCAGCATTTAACAATATTAGAAAACCAGCCAAACATGCAAATACTGAATATTGCAAAGCATATGCCCCCCAAATCCAAATAAAATAATAGAGTTATTGCACAAAACCTTTCACAGCCTCGTCTTAAGAGCTTCTTAGATATTATAGAAAAATTAACAAGCTGTTCACTTCTTCCTACATAAATCAAGATGAGTCACACAGGTGCTCGAAAGCCATACACTACCTCTGCTTAATAAGAATGGCAGCAATTTTTATTCAAAAGAACTGAAATTACTTGTGAGGATACCTATATAAACATTAGACTCTTACAGATGCTTCGCTAATTACAAAGAGTGGCTCTCCTAAAGAAAAAGGGAAATGTATTAAAAATAAAAAATAAGTGGAATTTCAGGCCTTATTTGACAAGTATTACAGTGCCAACAAAAAAATTGGACTTATGCTAAAATAAAGTCCATAAAGTAAAGGAAGCAGGAAGCCTGGATGAAAACATAGACTGGTTATTCTGGAAGTAAAGCAGGTTTTTCAACACAAATACAAAATAGCTTATAAAATAATGTATATTCAAAAAAGTCAACGTATAAGGACTCTGAAGGATGTTTTTAACATCTTTCTAATAAGTGGCCAGAAAAAATAATTTAAGCAAAACATTAAAAAAAATCAAATAGTTTGTAAGTAACACATCATTCAGACACCACTAAAAAATGTTAAGGAAAGGAAATGCACACAAATTGAATGGGGAAGAAAAAAAGTACCTTAGGGGTGACTAAGATTCTAAAGCAGATTTTTATTTATGCACAATATAGTTTACCCTACATATTAAAAATAAAAACAGGCAAGGTATATTATAATTTGAGCTCTAATACCTTGAGAGCATTATGTTTTGTCTGTAACAGCTGCTGTTTTATCTTTATTTCCTCTCGCTTTCTCTCATCTGTGATTCTTTGTTGTAAGTTGTCTCCTCTTTGCAATAATTCTTTTACAGTACCCTCATTGTCTTCACTCTGATTAAAAACAACAAGTACAGTCTTCATTTTTGTTTTTAAAAAGCTGTACATCGTTAGCAGAGATAATAAGACATGTTATTAAAGCACACACAAAAAATTCAATTTAAAACTTTCAGGGAACATTATTATAAGATACGTGCTCATAGTTTTTCTTTTATGTGCTGTACTTTGTTTTAAAAGAATGAAGTTTCCTCCTGCCTCGACCAAAACAACACGTTTTCAGGGGTAAATGTAGGTAGGTGGGGGAGTAAAGTACTTCATCACTTCAGAAAAGTCATTGATTGCTGTGAAAAACTTCTTCTGGCTTTGTTTTCAGGAAAATTCTCAGAATCCAAGCCTGAACAAGTAAAATAAGCTGGTTCTTTATAGTGATAACTAATCCATATGAGAATATGAATGTGTAAGTGTGGGATGGTAATAAATACAAAAATTTTGGAAAATATCTAAAATAATTTTTTAATGTTGTGTACACTAATTTCTATCCTATACCCTCTGTTGTATTCTTTAAAACTAAATGTTCCAATATAGGACAAATATCAGGGCATTTGTAAATAATAATGTATTCAATTACTGCCACATATTTCAAATAATGAATTTAAAAATGTCATATATGTATACTCTTTTCAAAAAGAAGATCAAGTGAGTATCATAAAGACTAGACACATAGCTAAAAATTTTTTCAATGTGTTATATTTTGGTCATTTTGACTCTACAACCAATATTTTATTTATTTTGAAATAGATCAATTTGAGTAAGTACTGGTATAATATAGAAGCATATGTAGCCATGTGCTTTTCCATCCCTTGTTTCCTATCTTGTTTTCAACTTAGGAGAGGAAAACATTCTACCAAAAGAATTGACTTTCTGATGGTATCCAAGGCACCTGGATCAAACAAGAATAACAAGAAAGATATA